TTTCATGGGTCATTCTAAGAAGGTGAATTTGGATTTTGAGTCTAACGGCGTGCAGTTCTCCGACACCTAAGTCATCTTTATAGGATCCTAGTTTCCCTCATTAATATTTGGACAAATAACATATAAGGATAGGCTACCTTGGGTCCCACATATACCATCCAAATAGCCAATGGGTGCCACATGGAATTAAATGGGATCCACGCGAACCCCACATGAGGATTATGTGGGGTTGAAGTCAACCCCATGGTAAATCCCCTCGTAATTAGTGTACTTGTTTATGTGAGGCCTTGAGTTCTATTTTGGAAGTGTGGTGGATATTCCATAAGGGGCATAGGGTGGAAATTATGATTGAAACCTTAAGCCCCACATGAAATTATGCATATGACCACCTATCTTATTGGCATTATATATATATATATATATATAGAAAGAGAGAGAGAGGAAAAGTCTTCCTAATGCCTATAGGTGAAAATAAATAGTGATTTCGCCTACTTTTATCACCATCTAAGTTTCATCACGCGGTCATGATTGTCCGGTAGTGTTTTATTTTTTATTTTATTTTCTATAAATCAGAATGGCCTGAAATTTGGAGGGTATGTACATCTTAATGAGGTGCATCTAATAAAAATATAAAAAAAATTATCCACAAAAAAAACATTGACCAAAATACCTCTGAAATATTTCAGGGTATTTTGGTTACTTTTTTAATGTAAAATATTTTTTTTATATTTTTCAAAGATTCCCCTATTTTTTATGAATGCACGCTCCAAATTTCAAGTCATTCCAATTTATAGAAAAAAAATGAAAAATAAAACACTACCAGACAATCGTGACCGCGCGATGAACTTTGGATGTTGATGAGAGTATGCGAAATCACTGTTCATTTTCGCCTATAGACATTCTGCAGTATTTTCTATATATATATAATATCAAACTCACACGGAATTGGAGATTATTAAATTTAAATTGCATCTAGAACATGAGCAGAATTACCTTGAGGGGTAACCCTCAACTCGGGCTTTCTCCATTTAATTGACTGAGTTGGCATAAGCAGCTAGCTATAGAAGCAAGTTGAATCTAATGTGAATTTGAATTTAAAATTGATGATGGGAAATTTATAAAGAATTAGGATTTTAAAAGAGGATAATGGTATTAAATTTCATCCACTCATCAAAATAACATGATGAGTGATGAGTGACTAAAATCAAGCATCTCTCATACCGTGGATAATTGACTTCAATAACCAAAGGTTGCTCATTGATAATTGACTCTCCATGATTGATCTGACCCACCAATTTGGCTCTTTCTCTCTCCTTCCCCCCATTTGGTTCACTCTCCATATTATGAGATGATTCTTCAAAAATAGAAAGATAGGATAAACGAGTAGGAATTTAGTGAGAGAAAGTGAGATTGAAGCTTCATCTCAAATTTGATGCAGAAACCCTAACTCCATGATCATCAAGCCATTATTCTATGAAGCTTTTTGGTAGCTGTAAATAAGGGTGGTAGTGGACCCGACTGCTTATATTATAGGGTATATGATGGTAAAAAAAAAGGCAAAAAAAAAACAGAAAAAAAAAAAAAAAAGCTCATAGTTAGTTATAAGGTGGCAATAGATCTGACCAAACCCGGGACCCGATAGGTAGACTCAGGACCCGATAGGTAGACTCGGGACCCAATAAGTCTGGATACGGGTCCAAAGTTTGGATCTGATTACTATTCGGGTTTGGGTCTGGGTCCAGGTCCAGGTCCGGCCAGACCTGATCCGTTCCTGATTTGTTGCTGTAAATCTCAATTTGCAGAAAGGTATTATAGCCCATTACCTCCTCATTTCATGAGATTTTGAGTTCTATTTCATCTTTGAGCCTTTAATTCGTAGTTCGTTGATTCAATTTTAGAGTAATTATGATTGAGATTTCTTGAGACTTAATTGACTAATTTTTCTGCAATTTTTTTATCCAAATCAATCAATTAGTTCGTTATTGGTGAAATTTTAAGGGAAAACTATGCCGAAGTTTTTCCATTCTCATACTACTCAACTCAGAGCCCTTTTCTCCCATGGTTTTCCCCACATTATGGATTCAAATTTTTTAGCCTTTCTTTTGTTGAAATGTGCCACAAAATCTAAGTTTATACGATGCCTAATTGTTTTCTATTGAGGCGATGTGAAATTGGCCTATATTTTGATGCCATCCAAGTAGTCACTTCATGGTATATAGCTAAGAATTTAGCCATAAATCGGACATAGAGAGATTGCTTATTTGATTTCCCATTATCAAATCTATTTTGCACTAGTAAGTGTTTATTTTGGTGAAGATGAGATTGCATTTGAGGTATTTGATGTAGCTCCAAAGCTATGTATAATTTGGCATTGTAATTGGAGTAGTGTTGAATTTTGAAGGACTTGAGTATTGCTTTATATTCATTCAATCTCCTTTGTGCCCTAATAGAGTATTTTAAGATATATGTGACTTTGTGTCTTTTGTATTGTAATGAGAAAAACATTGAAGTGTTGTCACTTGGACTTCGCTTAATACATAAGGGTGGCAACGGATCGTGTCGAGTCCGGGTCTGGTCGAACCTAGACTTGAAAAAATTTATGGGACCCAGATCTAGACCTAGACCGTACCTGACTAGACCCAACCCAAAAATAAATAAATAAATATCTATATATATATATATATATATATATTATGTTAAGTATAATCATGTATCATTTAAATATTATAACTAAAAATATATACTTATATTTATTTAAATATTATTAGAATACTATTAAATTATTATATATTAAATATTATTTAAATAATAACACTATTCGGGTTGGGTCCACATGGACCCCCTGACCTGAATAGTGTTCGGGTCCAATATCTGGACCCGAATCCATCCAACAAGCCAGGTCCAATTTTAGACCCATCCGGACCCAGGTCGGGTCAGGTTGTCAGGTTCCAGGTTCGATCCAAGTCCATTGCCACCCCTATTAATACATTAATATTAATCACATATATTATCAAAGTTAGATTCTGGATAGTGGAACCAAACATCACATGTGCCTGCATAGTCGTGGCTTAATGCATATAAGCTACACAAGGGCAGATTAGCATAAATGGGAAATAACTCCATGAGTAAAATGACTGGTATAGGCTTGATTCATATAAGGATGAATAATGGAATGATTCAGATATTTAAAAATGTGAGATATGTACAGGATTTGAAGAAGAGCTCAATTTAATTTTATTCTCTACATTGGAGGATTACAAATTTCTTGAGCAAGTTGGAGTACTAAAAGGTTCAAAAGTCAGTCCACTTATGATGAAAGGAGTCCAAGAAGGAAAGTTGGATAAATTTTTTATTTTTTTGATAAATAAGGAAAGTTGGAGAAATTGTTTAGGGGCATAATTATAAATGAAATGGTAAATTTGGTTGTAGAGGAAAATAAAGCCAAAAAAAGACGTATGATTTGGCAATAGAAGATCTTAGTGATATGAAGCAAGGTCTAGCATAGTGTTGAGGCAAGTGGAGAAATTAAGCATTTGGAGCCTTCACAACAGAATGTAAGGCCCGAAGCACCTCATGAAATTTTTTCAAACCAATATTAAATATTTGGTCAACGAAAGGCAGATGTGACTAGAGTGTTATATTTTAATCTAGTGTTAATTTTGATAATTGCTATTTGTCAAGATTTGGAGCAATTTAAATAGAACAATTTTTCAATAATTGTATTACCCAAACGTTGGGTATATGTAGAGAATACAAGATGGTACAATCCCTTAATTTTAGTGATTTATCTAAAAAAAATAGAAAATGTACAATGTTTATCCTACTAAAACTAAAAAGTGTACAATAATACAAAATCCCAACTAAAATAAAAAACAATATAAAATTTGAAATTCAAGATTCCAATTTCAATTTGAAAATTGTAGTAACTCCCAACACTCCCCTTCAAATTAGAGCGTAAACTTTGAGTGTGCCCAACTTACCTGCGAAAAACTGAAATTGCTCTTTTCCAAAAGCTTTTATGCATATATTGGCTCATTGAAAACCAATTGGAATATGAGCAATACGAATGAGAGCCTGTTGAATTTTTTCACGAACTAGATGGTAGTCAAGTTCAATGTGTTTTGTTAACTCATGAAAAATGGGATTGATAATAATATGTATGACTGATTTGTTGTCACAATAAAGCATCATGGGGCCATTATGAGAAATACCAAAATCAAACAAGAGGTATTTTAACCAAGTAAGTTCACAAGATATAACTGTCATGGATGATACTCTGCTTTCCGTACATGATCGTGAAACTGTCGGTTGTTTTTAAGCTTTTCAATATAAGAGACCATCTCTTAACCAGTAGTCGAGCGCTTGGTCATTGGGCAAGTAGCCCAATCAGAGTCACAATAGGCAGAGAGTTGTAAACTACTAGTAGCACAGAACAAAATACCTTGGCTAGATGTAACTTTTAAATAACAAAGAACTCAAATAGCAACATGTAAATACGGTTTTCAAGGTTGGATCATGAATTGACTGAAGATATGGACAATGTAGATAATGTCTAACCTTGTAATTGTGATATATATAAATCTATCAATCAACCATCTATAAGATATGGGATCATCTAAAAGAGGTCAATATTTTGACATTCAATTTTAAATTTTGTTCCATAAAAAAACGATAGATTTTACAGCCAAAAGACCCATGCCGTACATAGTTTTTAAGAGCAGGTAGACCATTAAGGTAAACAATTAATATAAGGATGTGTCAATACTACCATTTTAATGGGCAATTATAATAGGTAGTAGGGCAGTTTCCAATTTTCATATAGAATGGTGAGACTAATTGGCTCTGGACCAACAATTCACACTCCAAAATAATTATTTTTGTAATCAATTTTGGACTAGCTGAAATACTCATATCCTTCAAATTCTTAGACTAGAGAGACATTCTCTCCAAAAAAATTGCAAAAACAAAAAAACAAAAGTGTTTTACTGCAAAATATCATATGCCAAAGCTATATTACAGAACCTAACTGCACTTCAATTAAAAGTGTTATACAACAGTCTTACTGTACGTGAAAAACCATAAAAGTTAACATGAAGGGTGTTCCTTGTTTACATAAAAGAAATCAGAATGGCCACAAATTTTGATGCAAAGTCGTGAATTGTTAGATGGTGCATAAGTTGCAGTACCAAAATTCTAACCAGCTTCATATACAACAAAAAACCCAACTAAGGGGGTGCTTATGTGTGTGTGTGTGCATGCCTGAGAGAGAGAGAGAGAGAGAGAGAGAGAGAGATGTTAGGTACTGCAGGCACTCTTAATGCGTCATCAATGGCTTATGAAGGTGATGATGCAAAGAATTAAGGCAAATATTTATACACTATATGGAAAATGAGGTTCGAGTTTGGGGTTAAATGGTTAATCACATGCAGGGGGGAAGCTTATCCTTCAATCGAGAGATGAGCTTAAATGTCTCCTCAGCCTCAACCATTTGACGAGGGTTTCTCTTTGATGCCCGATCAGGATGAAACCGAAGCAAGGCTTGTTTGTAAGCTGCTTGAACCTGATAATAAACACCAAGACTTCTAAATGTAATAGCAGCATTGTTGATGATTATGTTAATACTAACAATAACCATAGTTAACACAGAATATAGTAATTCCCAGCATTAAAATAATTTGGAAAAAGTAGCATCTACGAATTCCGGGAAGCTTACATGGGATAAACTCAGTAATTAACAAACCATACACAAACCATTACCAAAACAAATCTGATATTTAAGCTCCTTATCCAATAAACATTTCAAATATACAACTTAGGGGTTACAACAGCCAACAATAATTTCATTCCTTTGTCCCCAAAAGTGATCTTGTTCCTGACAGAAAAGTGTTTTACTTTCCCTCGACAGGGTTGAAGGAAACCAGCAATTGGTCAATGATATTTTTCATCAAAGTTAATAACCCACTAATTACTATCTAAACAATTACAACAAAAAATTGGCTTGGCAATGATGTAGCAAAATTTCGTAAGGCATCTAGATTTACTACATCAAGTGATCAGATTAACCTCCTAAAGTAAATGCCAAAGATCAAAAATTTGGTTTTCTAGCCATTTAATCAATGTTCAAAAAGGCAGCGATTGCCATGGCGGGCACCCAGATACCTTTGGCAGGCTCCTGAGAGGGGGGGTTTGAGGTGGGGCAGCATATGTTTTTTACGTCAAGTGATTAGATTAACCTCCCAAAGTAAATGCCAAAGATTAAAAAATTGGTTTTCTAGCCATTTAAGCAATGTTGAAAAAGGCAGAGGTGGCTGCCTAGACAAGCACCCAGATAGCTGGGCAGGCCCCTGAGAAGGTGGGGGGGCGTTGAGGTGGGGTGGCACATGTTTTGTGCGTGCCTATGTAAATATTGTGTGTGTATGCACCTCCATATGTATATAATGTGTGTATGTGTGTCAGTGTGCGAGTATATGCATGTGAGAGAGAGGTCTCGAACACTGAGCATATGGATCCGTGTTTGTGACAGGGAGGACTTGGACACTTGGAGTATGTTATTTTTATTCTTCTAATAAGTTGCGAAAGAGAGATAGAGAGACACTGTGAGAGAGGGACCTCGCATTGAACACTTAGAGATCATCTTCTTTTCTTCTTCTTACATGTAAAGCAAGAGCACATGGGTCCATTGTGTCTTTGTGCGCGTATTTGTGTGAGAGAGACAGAGGCCTCGCATCAAACACTTGGGAGCTTTCTGCTTCTTCTTCTTATTCTTATATATAGAGATAGCACATGGGCCCATGAGAGAAACAAAGAGAGAGAGATAGAGAGCAGTGTTTCAAAAAGCGCTAGGCGGCACCTAGGCAGCCAGGGGGGTCCAGGCCGCCCAGCACCTAGGCAGCCGCCCAGAACCTGAACAGCCCAATTTCTAAGGACTCAAAATCTTCTAAAAAACCCTCTAATAGATTTATAGAACATAAAAAAATTAAATTTAATATCAATGGGTGATGCTTCGATCAATTTCTCGTAACTTTGAGAAACCCTTCGATCCTATGGAAAGCACAAAAAAACTAGTTTTTTTGGGTTTTTCTCCCTCTAAAATAGGCTCTAATGGGTTTTAGGTTTCAAATGAACCTAAAACCCACAATTTTATCCCTCTAGTATTAAAAGAATGACAAAAAAAATGCCCTCAACGAGTGACATTCCCACCTCTAGGCGGGGCACAAGCCCTGCCAGGTTCCCAGGCACCTAGATGGGCACCAGGGATTTCCGCCTTTTTTTGCGTGCCTTCTAGACTGTCTTAGTGGCTACCCAGGCGATGGACGGTCCGCTTTTTAAATCACTGATAGATATATATAGAGAGAGAGAGAGCCCTTATATATGCCTTAGGTTTTTATTTTTTAATGTGGCTTTTTTAAGATGGTGGCAGGCACTAGGAAGGCAGCCAGACCCACATAGGCGCCCACCTTGAGCCCGCCTAGGCGGACTCCTTGGGCACCTAGATGGGCACCTTCGACATGCCTGCCTAGACCCACCCGCCTGGGCAGCTTGGCTGCCTAGGCAGGCCCGGACAGCCGATGTTTTCCACAGTGCATGTAATAAAAGAACAGATAAATTCATTCAATCCACATAACTGCCGTGACTATAAAATTCCATGAAATTCAGTAACAAAGATGCGAAATTGCAAATTACAACTGACCTCATGTAACATGGGGCGCAAACCCCCTCCAACCATGATCCCTAAGCCACGGAGTAGTGAAGCCATATCTCTATATTGAAACTCCAATTTGTCAAGTTCCCTCCTCACTTCAACACGTAGCTGCTCCTTCAAATTAATAGTTTCTTCATCCTAAATTTGGAATCAAAAAGATCCAAAAATCCACGATTAAAATAAAATCCAAACATAGTTTTAAAACAAAAGGAGTTGGAACTAATAGGAATTAGGAAATGGGAAGGAATGATTCCATGGGCAGAATAAACCAAACCTTCTTTTGTGTTTCTCGCATTTCTTCTATGCGTTGCTTCTGCCTTTTCTCCATTTCTAACAAACGCAAACTTTCTAATTTTTTCCTCTTACGCAATCGCTGAGCTTCCTCTGCCTTCAAATATGAAAAAAAGAATAATCACATTTTACTCAAAAACAATAAGGTGTACACACTCAAGAACATTGCATGAACGAGCAACCAAAAATAACTATCCATTGTAATCATGACCATACAATCGAATGATGGATGGTTGGTAAGTGGGAAGTTCAGGACTAGGGGAAGACCCCAATAGTGGGTCCAACAAGCTCTCAATCCATCCAATATTTCATCAGATGGTCATGACTCCAATGGACGATGCTTTTTCCCAAGCCCATTGGACTATAGGGTACTTCATCTTTTCCTAGAGATATGATTTCCATGTACAGGTCATGAAACTTGCAACCCTCTAGGAATGTTATATACCATATTCATGACAAATCCCAGAAAGAAAGGTCAACTCCTCAACTTACAAACATATATACCTTGTAACATTTGTTCCTATGGCTCATACAGAAGTCCAACCTATAGGTGATGAAGCTTCGGTCTTGCCTTCCAAATAAAAAATAAAATTAGTGAAGTTTTGGCCAGTAATATAGATGGAATGGGGGAGATGGAAAACACCTTGGTAGGCTAGTCTGTATAATAGTTCTTTTTTTTCCCATCTATACTTTGTGTAGAATTTCCAAGAGGAGTTTCTTAAATAAGAGGTGGGGGAGATCAAAAGAGACAATGAGGGCATTGAAGCAATTGCGAAGGAAGACAAGTTTTCCAGAGAAAGGGATAATGCTGTGTTTAGCAGGCCTTGGTATTGGCTCACATGCTGGATTTTACAATAACTTCAATCAAAAGAATGCATCCCCTGCAACCTAAAAGTTCTAATGGAACTTCCCACCATCAAACCCTTCTTATGGACATAAACTGTTGCCATCATACTATCTATTTCTATATATATATGTATGTATGACCAACTTTATATCCATTCTGTATTAATCCACGTCAAATGCACCATCTAAGATATTCTTTGGACCTCCCAAAAAGCCTATTAACGGCATGCACATATTAAATATTCATTATTAAAGGTAAAAAAGATTTTTCTTAGTGATATGAAAATTTTGGAGGCATTTCTTTGACAAGAAGGGCTTCAAAAGAAGCCCATCATCCATGAATTTAGGAGCCGACCAACATCATTTTTCATTCCTAAATGGGCAAAGGGAAAACCAGCCCTCTATTACCATATTTTGGCCCTTCCAAACAGGACATAAATTACGTAAGTTCTTGCAAAACTAGTGCAAAGAAATAAATGAAGCTCAAATACAAAAAGGAGCACACTAATCCACAGGTAAGTGACATTGTGGTCGGAATAATAATTGCATCTACCCACTTTAGGCATTAGGCAGAGAAGAAGGAAACGATTATCCACATAACTTGGCAGATGTACCCTCTCATAAGCCACAGTTATATATAAACAACTCCAAAAATTAAGAAATAATACATCAATGGACTATTCAAGACAAAGTTACAAAGTTGAATCATTCGCAGTTCCAACGAGTTCTATCAACTGAGGCCAACAATGACAACCACTTGCATTGGGGGAAGAGCCAATTAGACACAGAATTCCTGGAGCACTAGATATTGCACTAGTTACCAAGAAAATAGAAGGAAATGTTCATTTCAAGCAACTTGTGCCATGATAGTGTTAAAATTACCAAGCACTCTGCTCCTAAAAATACAAAGGCAGTATTATCCAGGATAATTAAATAAGTAAATGAATATCAAGAATTAACCAATTTCAGCAGGCTAAAAGTTTTAAATCGAAAATTTGCTAGTTCCAAATTGCACTATAGTACAAATGTATTCATTTCACAAAACAAAAAAAACTAAACATGCATTGGTACAAAGTATCTAGCATCTACTATATGAAACTGCTTTAGATCGGTATGTTATTTCATTCAAAACTGACATGTAATGCTTCATAATGAGGCATCAGAATTAACTAAAAACAACACTCCATCTGATAACTATTTGGGAGAAGTTTTTTGTTTTTTGCTGAATATTGTGACTATGACTCTGACAAGAAAGAACACAACACATAAGGCACGTAAAGAAAAAGCGGGCCATATTATCATCGGAATGTTTCAACTTATTTCCTGGCCATCACTATACAGTCTACGATCATGTGAGGGACACATATGATAGAAAACAATATTACAGAAAACAACATTGAGATGGATTGTATGCAGAAAGAGAAAGGAATGTCGACAAACCTGTATTTGTATTTCTCGCTGCCTGTTCGCCCATTCTTCTTCTATAGCAAGCTTAAAGGCAGCAGTGTCCTTAAGCTTCTCTCTATCTCCAACCAAATCATTCTCAAACTCTGTTGTCCCAGTATCGTTTCTGGCATCCCCAGCAATGTTTTCCACTTTAGTGTCATCATTCTCTTGGCAATTAAATAAGGGATCTTTAACATCGCCATTCTCTCTGTTATTGAATAAAGAATATTTCACATCACCATGCTCTCGGTTCTTGAATAGAACATCATTATCATCACCATTCTCTCGGTTATTGAATAAAGCATCTTTAGCATCACCAATCTCTTGGTTATTGAATAAAGCATCTACGTCAGGCACCCATCCTTCTTGAGCCTTGGGACCATCTTCTTCATTTCCATCATCCACTACAGTTCCATCTAATCCCTTCGTGCTCTCAGAATCCATTTCTTCAAGATTTGATGAATCCCCCATCTGAGTTGGGGCACCCATATCTGGTGACTGACGATCAAATTCTGATCCAGAGTCATTAAGATCAGGATTTGGAATAAACTCTTCTCTAATATCATCCGGACTAGTCTTAAAGTTGGAGATATCCTCCTCCATCACAATATCACAGATATCCTCCATCACAATGTCACTTGCACTAGAAAGCACTGGCTCATCAGACTCCAAATCGCGATCTACATTGACATCCTTTTGAACAAATGAGCTATTTTGTGAATGACTTCTAGATTCATTATTGGATCCTGAGGTGCTTGCCTGATCCTCAACCTCAAATTGCATGTTCCAAGATCCCTTCATCATTTTCCTTCTTAATGCAGCTTTCTCCCACTGAGCACGAACATCGCCAGAAGAGTCTTCCAAAATTTCACAATCTGAATTATCATCTTCTGATATATTAGATGCAAAGCCAGTATTAAGACCAAACCGATTTCTAGAGGTCAAATTCCCAAAGTAGCCATCATTAAGACCAAAACGATTTCTAGAGGTCCGAAACTGATGTTCCGTGCGCTTTGGTGAAAAACATGGGGCTTTTCCTCGAAAAAACATCTGACATTCATCATCTGAATCTTCAACAATTTGGGGTTCATCAGGAACCGATGTAAGTACTTCGCTGGAGATTGTGTCACTTTGATGAGCATCATCACGTTCTTCACCATTTTGATGCTCATCGTCATCCAGGCCATTGTCTATAATTATAAAGGTAGCTCTCTGTGAAGGTTTCTTCCTGTTCTTTGAAGTTTTGCAGCCTTTCAAATTTTGGCTTGATGTTTCTGGAACGTCGACTACATTCACATTAACCCTAGAATTACATTTCCCTAGATGACGCTTTCTCCCCATAGACAAACTATGGGAACGGTACCTTGGCATCTTAACCTCCACAACTATAAAGCAGATATTTTTGGGGTGTCAACTTGCATCAGGCCTTCATCATTTCCATCAAAATTCTGCCATCTCAGTAGCTGATTTTGAAATAGTGCACCTGCATTACGTGCTCAAGCAATTATGTGGACCTCTCTGTTCTCAAATATTGAACACAGTTGTATAGATGGAATAATTCAATACTTCCCCTGCAAGAGGAAAAAAAACAACATTCAACTTCATGAGAACTTCTGTGATAGAAACAAAATAAGAACTGACAAAACATGAAAATAAACTTGAAATAAAGGGTCATAGCTCCAACAATGAACTGAAGAAACTAGGGTCTGTGACATGTTTGTCTCATTGTATCTATCCTTGCCCAAATGCCATAACTAATCCAAAGATACCAGTGATATATTTACATTTTAACACAATCTAGAAAAAACAAGCCGCAGCAGCAAGCAAAAAGAAAAAAAAATGAAGACACTTAACAAGGGACATAAGTACAAGCAAAGAATCAAAAAAACAATACAAGTTTCTATTCTTCATAATGTATTTTTGGGCGAGTGCAACTCTGTAATAGTAGAGATCCGAAGAGCGATAAGGGCAAGCAACAGGATGATCAATTTACCCATAAACTTCACTTATTCAAGTGTATGCAGTTGTGGAGAGGACTAAAGGCATGCAGAAAACCAATAGACAACTAATTGGACATGCAATTCAACAAGTGGAGCTTGATGGAGCTTGATCAGCCTTCCAGCATACTCCTCAAGGGGAACTGTTCATGTGAATCTATAAATGCATCGGCAATTGCAAAATCCACAGATGCATTGAACACCCTCAAGGAATGTACTAATGGTGGTGGGTCCCAAACAGCAGTCGTATTTATCACAGAAATGCAGCCCTATAGTTGCAAGTAATTTGCTCAAAACTAAATTATCCACACTTCTTCATGCATAATTTATGCACAAGAAGTTAAGCTACTTCCCTGGCATACATTCTTGCCCATCCATGGCCAACAAAATCATATTTGACATGTTTAACTTTGTTATCGTAAGTCGTATGTTATTGTCTTTATTGTCATATAATTTGCGTTTACACAGAACACAATTACGCCCCAAATTAGGTTAGCAAACCATTTATGACAGAAAAATAGTTAAAGGAAACAATAGGAATCTTTACAAATCTAGTTCATAGTGATCCATCTGGACATGTCAACCAACATCTTCTTCCACATAGTTATTTCTGGTAATATCTTTCAGGAGCTATCTCTTGTATTCATGCATCTTACATGTGAAAGAATAGTGTATTGCGGCATATAAGAAGTATTTAGGAAAAATACCTTAATTTTGCCAAGTAAAAATTTAAGTTCTACACTATGGAGGTGCAACTTAATGGTATTTAGAGAAAATACCCATGTCGCTATATTATACAGTCAGCTACAGTTCACAAACTCAGAGAGTCAGACTCAAACTAACCAGAGGTACTTGGGATCGGCTGCCTGCCCCCCTCCCCCCCCCCCCCCCAAACCTCCCTCCAAAAAGACAAATTGGCAAAGGGTACTGTTCATCAGTTCATCTGGGTTACAGCAGTAACTCAAGCAAGTTATGACAGATTTGGCGATTCCATCGAAACTCACTGAGCTTGACATATATTGCAGTACAAAAGGCGGACTGCAAAAAGAAATAAAACCAACTATATCGATCTTATTCTGCTAGTTCTTTCAGACAAATTCATACAACTGCAAAATGAATGAACCAAACTAGATACAATGGCGTGACTATCATTTCCTAATTCAGCCAAAACAGATAACTATACATACTTGCAAGCCACCACAAAAAGCTAGAAACTCCATAAAGACACAAAAACTGAACAAGAAACCCTAATAGTAGCTATCCACAAATAATCATACAATGAAATAGCATATAACTGTAAGACCAACAAAGAGCTATGAATTCCATATGGAAAAAAACTACTGAACAAGAAACGCTAAAAGCAGGCAATCCAGAAAAACGCGCAATCTAAAACATGGGTTAATCAACCAAAAGAAAGCGATTTTTTCTGGAATAGCACAGCAAAGCTGAGAAAAATTGCAGCCCTAAGTTACAAACTTTCATTACCCTATTTCGAAAGCAAACAAAGCAAAGAAAAGCATGATCAAACCACCACGTATTGACGAAACAACAAACACCATTCTCTTGGTGAGAAAAAGAATTGCAAATAGGCGATCATAATTCGACCATGGGTACTTTAAAAAGGAAACCCTAAGTCAAAAAGAAAGTACACAGAAAAATTAAATTAACGCAAAGCAAAAGAATAGCCCTAGGTCAACCAGAAAACACAAAAAGGATATGATTTTTGAATTAGAAAGAGAAACTCAGAGTAAGAAGAAGAAATGCTGAGAGAGAAATTGGACCTTCAAGAGAGGAGACCGTTAAAAATCTGGTTACTTTTGGGGGGGTTTTATTATAGGGCAGAACTTCTGTGAGAAAAGCAGGCTCTGGTTTTAAAGTATTAACAAGGATGACCCCTGAATTCAAGATATTGCAAGAGAGGACTTCTACTGAGGGCGTGGGCGTAATAGAGAGAGAGAGAGAGAGAGAGAGAGAGAGAGAGAGAGAGAGACGACGAATACTAGTAGTTAGGTTACGGTTAAGGTAAGTACGTAGGTAGGTTAGAGTAGTAGACGAAGAGTAGTAGGAAGGAGGGTAGGGAGAGGACGACGAAGAGACGT